ACTTTCCTCTTTGGCCCCATAATCTCCTTGATCAGAAAATTTGGGACACTACCAAGTTACATGACATTACAGTACAAGTTCTCATATGAAGACAGTTTCTTAAAGAGTGACAGCAGTGGAATAACACAGACAAGTTAAACAAGGCAAACGATGAGTAGGGAGTTTAGCTCTGTGGTAGAGCATTTGCCTACCATGGCAAAGTCACAATCTCCAGAACTTTAAAAAACAAGCTCATAAATACAACGCAAAGTATTTGAATGATTTTCTTTGGCTTATGATGATCCAACAGGTACTGATACTGCTCAGCTATCTATTTGAGGATTCAATTTATATATTAATATTTGAATTTATCAGTTATTACTGAACCAATAATATGCAAGGTAAGTTTCATTTATTCTTACAATATACCCACTGTGTGAGTTTTTTTCAGATATGGATCATCCCTGCCTGATTCTCCCAACACCACAGCAGTTTGGTGACTTGACAAAGGTTACATTTTTTTTTTAATTAAGGAAAGATTGAGATTTTTAATCAGCAGAATCACCCTCAATCACCATTATTAAGCACTTAACACTTAACTGATAATGGAAGTCAGCTTTTGCTACATACTTGTATAATATTCTTTTTTTTTTTGGCGGAACTGGGGATTGAACTTAAGCCCTTGCACTTGCTAGGCAAGCGCTTATTGTACTGAGCTGTCTCTCTGGCCCCAATATTCTTAACAAATTTCACCTAAAACCATTATTTGTCCTGGAGCAAAGTTATTTTGACAACAGTTATATTGTTTAATAAAACACAAGCACTGTCATGCTGCTTTAACTCAAGATTTCTACTCCCACCTTTGTAGCAGATAAGTTTTCTAAGTTCATATTACAATTCCAGAAGTAGTTTTTGGACCTCCATGCAAATATAAAGAAAATATTCCATATTTCAGGATCCATTTAACTGTACAATTAAAGACCTTACATATAATCTTCATTTAAAAATGATTAATTTGCAATATAATGAAATGGTAAAAGGAAAGCAAAACAAATGAAGAATTTGGCTGAATTATATTCTAGTTCATTACTATCCCAAGTAGTGAGTGAATATGCTTAATTAATTAAAACTTCAAATATGAATAATTAAAACCACATGCTGATAAATTGATACCAGGATTTAGCAGTACCTATTTTTGTGAAATGACATTTTCAAAAATGAAGTACCTCAAAAATCATTACAAATTAGTATTGACAAATTAATATTTGCAATTGAAGCTGAGTTAAATGAAGTATCATACTCTGCAACTCTATAAATGAGTAAAAGCGAAGTTTGCCTTTGACACTGCTAGTTCATACTTGATAAGAGTATTCCATTCTTCTTAGTAGAACTATATTGCCAAAAATGAACTCTGATCACATTTTTAATTTTGTCAAAAAGAAATGTATGAAACTTCCTTTTCTCTTAGAATATAAGTAACTACTTATTTATTATATTTATTTTGCCTTTTGGCAGAAAACATTTGCTAACCCTTGATTTAAAGTAAGAATAGCTGAGGGCTGGAGAGATGGCTCAGTGGTCTAAAGCACCTACTTAGAACAAGCTTGGCAAAGCATCAGGGACCGC